GCAAGTTTTGTGAGGTGCTTTTTTGATATTTAATGGATCGGATTACATTTTTTATTTCTCTCCGATATCCGATCCAGTAATTTACGTCAGTATCGGACAGATACCGATACGTAATATCGGATCGGTCCATCTCTATTATTAACAGGAAGAAACTGCCAGCAGAACCCAGCTCAGGAAGGGGGCAGCAAGGTGCCATAACTGGTGGTTAAACGGGGGAAGCCCCCAGCAGCATAAGCCTTTTACAGTGTAACTAAGGAAAGATTTAGGGTCCAGCCCTATCTATATCCTTTAACAAAAAGGAAAGTTTTGATCCTACTCTGGGAGAAATATGAGCTATCTTTCTAGTCCCTGTCAGTACTCTGATGTGACCTGACTCATGTCAGGTCACATTTTGTTAAATAGCATTTAGGAAATCAATTGAAGGCACAAAGATGCATATGATTTATGTTGGAGTTCCATCCCAGCTGATTTTATATTGTGTGAAGGGTCAGTGTTTTTGTAGCCCATTAACAAGTGCACTAAACAAATATTGCATAACAACATCTTTCAAATTTTAGAATGTGGCTTTCCATAGCTTAAAAACAGCTAGGAGCTCAGCTTATGTCCTTGCTCAACATTATGACTCATCATCTACGCACACAGACACACAAACACGTAAACACACCCCTCTGTCCTCTTCTGGGAACTCTGATGAATCTTTTATCTGAAGCTTGAATATCTTGATGACCCATTCATATTTTCTCCCCAAAGACAGAACGAGAGAAGCGAGGGGAGCCCATGACACAGAGGCTACAAATAGAACAACAAAATAACAGCAGTCACAGGCAGTCCTACCCACCTATCTCGAAGCTCCCGTCAATGACACCTATTAGGTAACTAGGGATGTCAAAGCGCCTCTCGAGCTGGGTTATTGTGCTCTTCATGTAGCTCCCCGACAGAGCCTTTGCGAAGTAGGCAAAGGACAATGCCACCAGAAACATCTAGAAAACAGAAAGACACACACAAACGCATTGATATGCATGAAACTCCAACAGGAGAAAACACACTGTTTTAACATAATCATCCTCCATAATATACTTGATTATGTAATGCTTCTGTTTTTGTCTACCCACAAAAGACAGAAATGAAATGCTTATGTCACCACTGTGGCTTCTACAATGCACGGACGTGCCACATTCAACTTCGTCAACTCATCCAAAAATCACTAATAATTAACATTTGCCAGCGTCACAAGAATAACAAGGATTTTGATGAGGGAAGGGGATAGAGCGCCCAGCAGTGCAAATAAGATTCTATGAACTGTGAACAACAGCGAGATAAAACAAACCTTTGAGTGTTGACAGATGAATGGACGACTTTGTTATACAGTATGTGACATGTGCATGTTTCACATCTTCTATTCTTATAACAATGGTAAATTCAATTAAATTCAACATATTTTTTAATTCAGTTTGTATAGTAGCAGCTTAAAAGGTAAAGACTTTGCAATACTAAAGGGAGAACATGACCTGTAACTTAAAGCCCTTATAAGAAAGCCCTATGTGATCGTGGGGAGAAAAAACTCCCTTTTAACAGGAAGAACCAGGCGCAGGGAGTCACCACTGAGGTCAGCACTTGTTATAGACTTATCTCTAGTGCTGCAGCAAGCACTTCCAAAAACAAGTCCAGAGTAGTTATGTGCTAAGTAAAGCCAGCTCCAATCTCCATGAAAAAAGAGGGGGGGGGGGAGCCCATGACGTCTATGAAAAAATTTAATCATTTAAGCATCATTGAATTAAGTCGAAACCAACACTTTAACAGGCTGCTCTGTAGCAGTCTGGAGTGGTAGATTGCACTCAGACAAAGAAACACAGTCAGTAAAGTCTGTAAAAACATCCCTGTGTCATGGCCCCAGGGTTTTGTGTTGTTTTGAAGTGCCTGATTCCTAGTTAAACTGTTTGTAGCTCTGTTTCTCTTTTATTGTTCTTCTAGTGTTTGGAGTTTTGATTTTCTGCCTGTTGATTTTTTTTTTTTATTTCTGTTTTAGTTTCTTTATTATTCTAATATTGAGCTTTGTTTCTTGTGATGTTATTGAGTCTGATTCTCTACTTTATTGTTATCTCACCAGTTAACCTTTGTGGTTTTATGTTTGGATTGCTGTTAAATTTTATTGTTGTTCAATGTTACTTTAGGGGTTTGCATTTGTGTCTGTGTGTGTGTGTGAGAGAGTGTTTTTTTGGTCTTTATTAATAGACTCCTCTGTTTCCTTGTTTTCCTTTCCCTCCATTATGTCAGTGCCTGTCTTTTCTCCCCCCCGAATTCGTTAATTTACGTTTACCACTTGATTTCTCATTTTTCAGCATCTCCATGTCGCTTATTTTACATTTTCTGTTTTTTTGATAGTCACTTTTCTCTCTTGCTTTAGTTTTTGGTTCGGTTTGCACCTTTAGCTCCTTCGCTAACCTGTCTCTAATCTCTAATCAGCCCTCTGCCTGTCTATCCCATACTTGTCCCAATTCAGGGGATGCATCCTTCGTTAACTGTGAAGGCTGGAAGTCACATTGTGAAATTAGCTGGTCTAGCCTATAGGACACACTGCTCCGGTTACCAAGCTCAGGAAATGAAGGCAATCTTTATTTTATCTCATTTGGCTTCCTTTTACAAAGATCTTTTATTGCCATGTGATGTATCTGACGCTAAGAGACCACTGGCTTGTAAAAACAAGACCCTTAGGCTGTGTCTTCTTAGCCAACACTAATGTAAACAACTGTCATCTGGTTTCATCTCACTTTAGTAATGAAATGTACATAATACAGTATGGCCAATAGTGCTCTGCAATACTGCAAATGTTGGTATTGAGCCAATACCAATGTAAATACTGTACGCCTGTTTATAAAAGACTTTGGGTCACCTTCTGTAATTTAAATGTGCTATAAGCTACACATAAAATAGGTGTGACAGTTAGCACAAAAAAAAATTGGAATAAATATTCCTTTATTAAGTGACAAAATCCTGCCATGACATAACTGTCTTAAGTGAGATGGAAAAGATATCAGAGCCTTAAACAGGGTCATTTTTGCTTGCACCTAACAGCAGAGAGGTGATACAAACATGCCTATAAAATATGATGTAATGGAGTCCTGATGGGGTGTTTACTGTGAAGTTCGATTAATGGTTTAGTGAGGCTAAACTTAAAGTTAAAAGATTCACATGTGAGGCTCTTCTCACCTGGGTTTTGGTTTAAAATCAGTTGGAAGCATCACATTTTTACTGATTCTGTTATCTACAACGTGCATTAAGTGTGAAACACATCCCGTGCCTGGGGAATACGTTTTTTAGTATGCCTTGACACAACACTTGGTGTTATTAGGCGCTATATAAATAAAATTAGGCACTATAAAAGTAATTTAAGTAATATATCAATCAATCAATAAATTAATTAATTTGGTGCTATATAAATAAAACTATATAACTAAAAATGAATTGACTTGTGCAGTTTGTTGAGTTATACCGTAGTCACACCACCAAATGAATCCCAGCTGTAAAAGTTATAACAGTGCCTCACTATCACTGAAATTTGCATGCACTCACACAAACACCTTGTGAGAACCCATCGATTTGTTAGAAGATGTAATTACAGTAATCAGTGTACATTTATAACAATACCCTTAAAACCTTAAAGCTCAAAAAACGACTGACTATACCTTTAAAGTGTTAAAGAAATAAGACAAGAGAAAATCACCACAATCACCCCTGATTTCACCTAAAGACCAAATCTTAAATTCTGCAGTACTAAAACTGTTGCACTGTGGCTGCAGGTGTAATGAAGGAAATCAGAATCTCAAACTTATTTCTTTCATCCTAAAATGTGATTTGAATTGATTCTTTCACCATGACGTCAACAAATACAAAGGTGTCAGTTGCTGTATCGCTTCCTGAAGATAATCATAACTGCCCGTGTATTATACTGCTCACACTTGACACATGATATTTTCTTGTGATCCTCTAAAGACCTCAAACGATTTAAATTAAAAAAGAAAAACATTCAAAATCGAACTGCACTTCCTCTGCCTTATGCATTATAATAGCTGGATGTTTCAGGATATATAGTGGAATATTTGGGATTTAGTGTTTTATAGGCTGATTACATAATTAACCACCATCATTATAAAAAAAAAACATTCATTAAGAGAACACAAAATAAACTTCATACTTGAAATGTCTTTTACTCTTTTTCTAGTGACTTTGTGATGTAGTCTTCTGTACTTTGAATGAAGGAATGGATGATGTAGAGTTGTTCCAGTCACTAGATGTGTTTTAAAAGTTTCACATGAAATGGATGATGGAGTTTAATCTATAGGTAAATGTTTTTCCCTGCACATCCATGGGAGCAAATCCCCCTATGGTATTCATTCTCTGTCTCCTGTAATCTCATTTCTAATTAAGCGCAAAGAGATGTAACGTGCACTGTGCACACGACTTATTTCACTCCTCTCTACAGTGTTTGCACTCGATGTACTGTAAACAAAGCTACTAATTATCCTGCCTGTGAGGTTCCCGATTTTAATGATTTATTATTGTCTTTTGAGGCAGTAGGTATAATATTGTCTAAAATTAACATAATTATCTGTCATAAAACAATGACAAAAAGAGCTCAAATCATTTTTGCTATTATTCTCCTTAATTGTTTCTTTCACAGAAACCGGCATACAAACCTTGTGTTTACAACCTTCATTTTGTGTTTTATGAGCCATTTCACTAGCTGGGCTCACGTCCGCATTTTAGGTTTGACTGCGTTTTAGTAAGTAAAGGTGAATGCTTGGACATGAATTGAGCTGCGGTTTGGGGAAGGCCTCAAAGGGGACTGGTGACGGCTCCCGGGCCTGGCAGATCCCCATGTACTAAATAGAAATAAAGAAGTTAAAGAATTGAGAACAAGGAGGGAGGGTGGGGCACGTAAACTAGAATGATCAGCTTGCAGTACTGCGGGAACCTGACAACCGGAAGGAGCGTGTTTGGAGGTGTGGTCCTGCGCCTGAAATTCCAATACGTAATCTCCAATTAAGGTGGACCTGCTGTCCTGTTCCATAACCCAAGTGTGCCTGAGCATCAGGGTCCAAACTGTTTGCCACACAGAGAGCAGAATCTATTACTCCAGCAATTACAGCAAGTTGTCCAGGTCCTGACACAGCAAAGCAGCCCCAGACCATCACACTAGAACCACAATGTTTGACTTTTGGTATGATGTTCTTTTTTGGAATGCTGTATAAGTTTTATGCCAGATGTTAAGGGATGTAACACTCCCAAATAATTCTCATGTCAGTGCACGGAATATTTTTCCAAAAGTCCTGGGTATCATCAAGATGTTTGTTTGTTTTTTGGTGAATGGGATATGAGCCTTTGTGTTCCTTTTAGTCAGCAGCGGTTTTCTCCTTGAACTCTCCCATAGATGCCATTTTTGCCCAGTCTCTTTCTTATTGTTGGATCGGGAACTTTAACCGAGGTAAGTGTGGCCTGTAGTTTTTTTAGTTTGGGGTCTTTTGTGATCTCCTGTATGAATTGTCATTGCACTCTTGGAGTAATTTTAGTAGGCTCGCTACTCCTGGGAGGTTTTCTCCATTTGTGGATAATGGCTGTCACTGTGGTTCACTTGAGTCCCAAAACAGTTCTCTGGGCAAACTTGTCTTGTTAATGCCAGAGGTCAGGAGAGAATGACCGGACTCCTTTGAGCAGAAATAGAGGCAACGCTAATTCAAATAACCATTTCTTACAACCAAGTTATACATAAAAGCATCTCTGACCACACAGCAGGAGAAGATAACACCAGTTGCCACTCCTGTTCAATAAGAGCAGAAAACCTACAATTCACACAGAGTCACTAAAACTGAATGGTAAGAGATTGGAAAATCTTTGCTTGAGTCTGATGAGTCTCCATTTCTACTGTGACATTCAATTGATAGGGTCATAATTTGGTGCAAACAACAAGAAAGAATGGATCCAT